TGCTTTTTTTTTTTTTTTTTTTTTTTTGCTAGCCAGCTAGCCTGAAGTCAAAGTACGGGTGGAGCTGAATACCTGCCCATTTCCAGTTACACCGATAACATGTAAATGCCTTGGCTTATTCTTTGCCCATCAGTCCGTCCTATTGAAGTTTTCCATTGATCTGCGCTCCTTGTACCTCTGAGCCCCATGTAATGAATAGGCTACGTTAGCTTCGTTTTGCTTACAAATCACTTAACTTTTGACTATTCAGAGACTTACTGCTAATTCATACCTGTTCCATTCTTTCAGCACTTCTCTTATATTCTCTTTTACCTGTTTTTTAAGCGTTCTCATCACTGCTACAACACAGAAATGGAGACAGAGTGAAAGTAACATTTAGTTAATTTATTTGTTTTTTAGCCCTGCTGATGAAAAAACACTTGTAGATTTTTAAAAATTATTTAGAATGTCTTGATTTAGTTTACTAGGAAGTGTAAAGAGAATGCAAAATACTCAAATCCATGAGATATAAGAATTGCTTATGGAGGTTTCTGATTAAATTCCTTTCTTCATATTGTCATGAATGGTGAAGAGATTATGTATTTTTTAATAAAAAATATTAACCAAATTATATAAGAAGGCATTTAGCCTTTTTAGCCATTTATGCTATTATCTACATTTAAGTTAATATGAAATTCCTCAGAGATTTTTCAGTGATCATCAAAATAAACCATTAATGACAATCGATATGGGAACCACATTTATAATTCATGAAAATATTTACATTTCTCTAGCCTTTTATTGCACATCTGGGAGAGATGTCCCATTAACCCTTAAGTGTATAAATACTTCTGATCTTAGCACAGAAGTTAAGAAAATTATCACTTAGCTTTCAGATTGGAAGCATAAACAGAAAAAAAATTGTTAAATAATCAGTTAGATATGGAAGCAAATGTATATTCCACATAGACCTAAAATAATACCTGTGGTGGTTATTAATTTTTAATATGAATCAGGGGAAAAAAGGGATAAAATATTTCATCATTGGGTTTGTGGAGGGTTTTTTTGGTAGGCTAGTTTTATGATATTTAGAATCTTTGTTTATATATGGGTTACAGAGATGTTTCAGGCCTGCATGCGAAGCAGCCTTTTGGCTGGAGTCGCAAAAAAGACAAGTATTTTCCTTAAACAGGAGGCATTTCTCAAATGGCTCTATGGCAAAATGGAAGCGTTTGAGGCTTTGCTTTGGTCTTTGTAATCTCATTCTGGTTTTACCACCAGTTTGGTTTTGGTGCACTCCTTCTGCAGTTGTGAAAACATATCAGAACTGTCTGAGCTGATAAAAATAAAATTAAAATTCTTTGATAAGATGGTCCATTTACAATACCAATTCCTAAATGGAAAAAAGAGGACATATATATTCTCAGTTTAGAAAATGTAAACCCTGCATTGCATTAAAACTCTCAAGTCTGACTATCATGAGCTATACAATTAGGATTTTTTCTCCATTCTCCTCGTTCTTTTCTGACAGACAAAGTGAGGTAATTATGAAAATGTGTTTTAAATGAAAGCATTCCATCAGGTGTGGGGAAATGATTTCGGTAATATTTAAATAAAACCCCTCTTCCAGCTCTTGAGAGACCATGGTAAAAGAATGCTCCACAAAATGAGCAAGTAGAAAGTTGTCATTTAGTGAAAGTTAGCAGCTGAGCTAATTGGCAGACTTTGGCAAAGATGACTGTATTTGAGAGAGAAAGTGCTGCTTTTGGTTTGTCAGGTAGTGACAGAGTTCCTGCAGTAGGTTCTGTTCTTCTTGAGAGGAAATTAATTTCCTGTAATCAAATGCTGTGGATTATAGTCTTTGTCTCCTTCTGCCTCAGCCACAGAAGCAACTCCAAGGCTTTTTTATTAAACAACATTACATGAGCTTTTGTAAAACAAGCAGGGATACATTCAGCATACAGAGGTTTTACCTACTACATTTTGTAGCTCCAGAACAAATGGCTGCTTTGAGACTGAGAGCTATTCCTTTGTAAGTGACTATATTTGTAAGGCTTTATTTGGGAAAGGAAAGTGACGGCAGAAACCCACATTTAGGCAGATGAAATCTTGGTGATGTTTGAAAATCGAATTACAAAGCAGCATAGTGCTATGTGGTAGGAAAATGATTCCCAGTAGCTAATAGTAACTTTTGTAGAAATATAAAAAAAAAGGGACTTCCCTGGTGGTCCAGTGGTTAAGACTGTGCACTCCCAATGCAGGGCACACGTGTTCAACCCCTGCTCAGGGAACTAAGATCCCACATGCCGCATAGCACGACCGAAAAAGAAAGAGGCCTCTTGCTTAGCCACTCGGAGCACCATTGAAGAGTTTAAGGGTTAGAGGGTATGAAAAAGAAATGCCCCTCCCTATTGGGGGGGGGGAATATATTTATATATATATATATATAAAATTACTAATGATAGTGAAATAAAAGTACCATTTTAGCTTTTTTGAACTGTTCAGTTTCTGGTGTGTGTATGTATACACACACACACCTTCCACATATACAGACTATTTATGCAATCTTGAGATTATTTAAGTTCATTGTGCATAATTTACAAAGAATAACATTTTGAAAATTATAGCATTTTTAATTCATTACATCTGAAAAGTTATCTTTTTTTCTGTAAAACAAGGGAGAGGATGGAGATTCCGAGAAAGAAAGAAAACACAATCAATCCTTAGAGAAAAATGACCTGTGATCAGAGATGGGATAGAATCTTATCTCTCTACTACATCTCCTTTTCTTTTAAATTCTTTTAAAGAATAATAAATTTATTACGTAGAGGAAGAGAGCCGCTTCCCCCTCCTGCTATCTATAAACTAAATCCCAGGACTTTTCTCCCCATCTGTGGTCAGTTTCAGTGCTCGATTAGGCCTTGGAGAAAATAGTAATGCCCCCTGTGATCCATTTCTTGTACCCAAGTAAGAACTTCGTACTTTGGAAAGATTGAATGAGGGTTTGTCAGTTAAATAAAAGTGGGACAGCCAGTCCTTTATTTATGATCATCTACTAGGTACTGAATTTTGACTCAAAACCAGTCTAGATGGTCTTTAAAGTATTTAAAAATATTTTCTTACTTTCTCCTCTCAAATTTAGTTTCGGTGATCACTCAACCACTGCCAGTGAATGAATAACATACACACATACTGATGTTAACAAATAAACCTCCAACAGAAAAGAAAATTAGTTGTTTTCATTCGTAAAATTGTGACTAAAATAACACTTTTAAAAGTAGGCAATTAGACTATTAAAAGTGCCTGGATTATCTTTTTGTTCAACACTTTATCCATTGCAATAGGAGGCACTACAGTTTTTGAAGTAATCCTAAATTTAGCTATCTTGTTTCAGTCTAGAGTGAACCGTAAGCGTTCTGTATCAATATCAATTCGATTCTTAAAATGATAATCTCTCATATTATAGGGTAGAGTCATTATGATGTTATGATTTTATTCTCCATGTTGGGTTTATTGTTTTTCACCTAACACATCAACATGGCCCTTTAGAACTACATGGAGCTTATTTGTAGCTACACTTAAAAGAACCTGTTAACAAAATCGATCTGTGAAAAGGAAAAGATGGCAACAGATCTCTGTCGCAGCGCTTTGATTCACAGTCCCTCGTTTTTAGTGACCAAGAGGAATAGGAATTGCTACATTTAGCAACAGTATCCTTTTTCTAGAGCAGTCGATGCTATTCCATTAGGCCTGGAAATAGACGGTAAATGTAGCTCTCTGGCATTCAGGAAACTCCATAATCACTTGGTGTTTTTTTTTCCACCCTCTTTCCTACAGCCAACCCAACCCGGGCAGGCGGGAGAGAGCCATACCCAGGCTCAGCAGAAGTGATTCGGGAGTCCAGCAGCACCACGGGCATGGTTGTGGGGATCGTAGCCGCTGCTGCCCTGTGCATCCTCATCCTCCTCTACGCCATGTACAAATACAGAAACCGGGATGAAGGCTCATACCACGTGGATGAGAGTCGAAACTACATCAGTAACTCAGCACAGTCCAATGGGGCTGTAGTAAAGGAGAAACAACCCAGCAGTGTGAAAAGCGCCAACAAAAACAAGAAAAACAAGGATAAAGAGTATTACGTCTGATCCCAAGATCTGAAAAGGACCCTTGTATAGAAATAGTCTTCATTTTATCTGAGACATAATATAAACTTATTTACTTTCCTTTTTATGAAGCACATAAAAAAGAAGACAGGGAATGCAATCAGGAAGGAAAGACTGTTTTTAAAAAATAAAAACAAGTATCTCATGCTCTTGTTTCTCCAAAAAAGAAAAAAAAAAAAAAAGCAGAGGTCAATAAATTCCCTAACATCCACAGTGTTTTAATTTACTCTGCCTGTCTTTATGTTGCTGGAACATTTCTAAAAGACAGTGGTGATCGCACGCATTCGTCAAGCAAAGGAGTATTACAACATCGGGAGGCACAACACAAAAAACAACACAAAACACAACACAGAAAAAGAAGCTACCTATGATCCCGGATTTAGCCAAAGTGCTAGCACTTTCCCGAGAAGTCAGTTAGTCTGATTGCCAGAGAAGACTGTCATTTTGAGTGACTCGACCTGCAAACCTTTTCACAGTTTGTCACCTGGCACAACTGGAGTAGTGGCTGGAACTTGCACTTGAAACAAAGTGCTGGCTTTTTTGAAGACTTGTGTAGGAACACATTCAAAAAGCCCCCTTCTGGTTGTGAGGGCAAAAAAACAAAGTATGGAGGCCTTATTTTCAACAATGTGAAAGATAAGGCACATTTTCACACTAAAATTTCAAAACAGAAAGAAAAAAACAAGAGGGTATAGATGCAATCATTGGGAAATTTTCATGCACGCTTAATATGTTATTACATGTGTTTATATAAAATCCATCTCTGTGTGCTTTCTGGACTGTGATAAGTGACGTTTTATAGCCTGTTGTATAGAAAATGCAAAATATATCTCTGCTCTTCAGCCATTTTTGGTAAATTCAGTGTTATAAGTGTTGCTAACTATAGGGAGTTTTATGACATCAGATCAACAATTATTTCAGGGTTTTCTTTTTTTGCCACCATTATAAATTGCCACAATTACTTACTTTTTTTAAAAAAATTTACAATGTAGTGTTTATTCTAAGGAAAATATGTATGAATGTATATAAAAAGACTCAGCTACTTTTTTTTCCTTACATGTACAGCCTTCATTCTGTTGCATTTAAGTTTTAGTATTTGTATGAAAGGTGTGATTTAGAAGGTAAACTATATACATATAATCTTCTTTGCTCCCCCAAATACTCACATTTCCCACATACATTCCTCATTCACGATCACAAATATGCACACGCACACACACCCACACACACGCACACACAAATCTAGAGGAATCATCAGATAGGATGGAAGACCCAGACGTACATATAATAGCAAATATTTACTGACAAGTTGAAAAGCAGAAAGGAAGATCATTGTGCCAACATATTGATGACAAATGGGGTGATTTGCTTCATTGAGATCATGCTCCCAGGAAACCTCCAGATTTTAGTCCCTAATGAAATGGAACCTTTCCTTATCAAGTAGACTATCGATGGTATATTGCTGCATGAATATGAACCATTAGGTGGGCAGGTATGGAAGCAAAATTGGTTGATCTACACCTTAACCCTGGCTGCTGCAAATGAAAACCTTTTTTCCAATAAATTTATATATATAGTCTCTGAACCTGATGTGCATGATAAACATTTTTGGAAAGTAAACACTTTCTCAACTAAGAAAGTATTTTCAGTAATTTTTCATTCTGTATTACTACCCATTTAAGAAAATCATTATTTGTTGATTATAGACTATAATTTAACTTTTCTGGTTTTACATATATATCATTAAGTATAGTTTTAGTTTAACACACATTAAGTAGTAGAAATGTATAGATTATTCACTTGTTTTTGCGTATTGTTTCAATGATGTTCATAGCAATAAATTATTAGTATGAGAAGGAAATGCAATATTAGATTGGAAGGTGATGCCTCAGTAAAAATTGGTCGCATTACTTTAACATCTCCTAAAAGAATGATATTAGATTTCATAGAAGAGAAGAATACTTTTACAATTAGCTTTAATCAGAAAAGGCAAAAAATGCAAAACATCTTCTGTGATACATCAGTTGATGAAAAAAGCCAAGACGTGGCCTGGATTTCAGACATACAGCACCTTAGATATATGTATAATTCATAGCAAATCACCACCATCTATGGTTGCCAAGTAATTGCTATATATGAAAAGTCTTAAAGGGTTTTCATGACCCAGAAAGTAGAGGTATAAAACTAAAATTTATTATCCATTACTTGTGTTTCAGATTTTCTTCTTTTTTAATTTGCCAGGTTAAAGGATTCATAAGTAGTTGTTGTTTTCCTCTCATCCAGTCTTACTCAGGGAAAGCCAGTGAAATAGAAGGTAAATATAAAACCACTCATTTACATCTTGAGGTTTAAAAGAAAATGGTTGCTTTTCCATTTGATCTACTGAACTTGAACTAGTTTCCATCTGGGAAGATTCTAAATTGTGATAGAAAATAACTTAAATAATGGTATTTTTAAGCAGTATATCTCTGAAGCATGTTGTTTGGAATTGATTTCAGTGTTTCATTCCAGCATAAATTTTAAAATTTCATGCAATGTTGTCGGTAAAAGTATTTCTAATGTTATTGGCCTACACAAAATCTAGCAGTTTTTTTTTTTTTCTTTTTTTCTTCTTTCTTTCTTTCTTTGTAAATGGGGAAAGAAAAGAGAGGAACACGAGCTAGGGAGAGAAAAGATATGAATAAAATCCCAAGTATCTTCATACCAAATGTTTCAGGGTTCCATGCATAGTTGGCAGTTAATAGAGGATTTCACACTACCTGGCATAAATTTGATTACATCTCTAGACTGTAACTTTTCTGATTGAATATGCTTCTTTTTTATCCACGTAATGTGTTGCCTTTAAAAAAAAAAATACTACAATAATGTGTGAGGTGGTCAATCCCTAAGATATCAAAGAAAGGCCACATGACCCTACCCTTCTAGTGCTTTGTGTGATTGGGTACCTAAGGGTTTTGTTTTGTTTTGTTTTTCTGTTGCAAGGCCAACTTATCCATTATTGGAAATGCTAAGCAAGTGGAATTTACTGTTTTGTTAATAAAATATTTCTTAATACAACTGTGGATTTATTTATTTTTTAAAAGTAATTGCAACACCCTTTGGGGACACAGTGGCACCATAAGGAAGACTGCATTTGAAAGGAAAACCCGTCCTTAGACAAGCAGAGGAAGAATACCAACTCTGTTTTCTGGATTTTAGTATTCATTAAGCACCTCTACATTGATACACTTAAAAATACAGCCACTAAATGTACTTTAGTTTACATCTGTTCATCTTACTATGTGTGAAACCACGAACTCATACATGAACATGCTGATTTCATAAATATGGTTTTCTCTATAAAAAGCAATGTAATTCAGGTTAAGTAAATTTGTGATTAAATTTACCTAGTTGTGATTTCTCATTTGTAGGCTCCTATAGCTTCTACTCATTGTTTCTAATTCTCTTTGTGCAAAACAGAATGTACCCCATATTCCACATGACAGCCTTTCCAATACTGTTATCCCCCTTCCATGTTTGCCTGGGTTTTCTCTTCAATCTTAACTTTCTGGTTTCCCTTGGTCATTACTTAAGTTATATGGATGCTAAAGTTCTCATAATCTTAATACCCTTCTTTTGAACCTCTGTTCTTCTCAAAATGTGATACAAAAATGACCATAGTGTTTTTAAGACCAAATTATAATGGGTTTATCACCTTCCTTGATTTGAAGTTTATTCTCTATAATACTAACACTTAAGGTTTCATTTTTTAAAGAAAAATCTTGTAATAGTTATTTCAATTATAATGAATTTGCGATCAACTACCATCATCAGATTTCTTTCCATGACGTTTCCTTTAACTTGTGAAATTGGTTATTTGATTTAAATGCAGGACTCTATATCTATCCATGAGAAATTCATTGTATTGTATTGATTGTATTCAGTTCAATTGTAGTAAATACTAGCCAGCTGAGATAAATTGTTATCTTGCATCTCTCATATGGTCTTCTGACACGAAATCATTGGCAAATTTTAGACATACTTAGGGAAAATATGTTCACTAGGAAAGATATTAGGCATGCCTCAAGAGACCGCCTTCTAAACAATGCTTCTTAACTAGGTGGGGCGTGGGTGTGGGGAAGATGAGGTACCGTCTGGACAGTGTTGATTGACATGATGGTGGGAAATGCTACAGGCGTGTACAAGGTTGAGATTAGGGGTGCTGCTAAACAACTTATAGTGGGCAGGAAAGCCTCCCCCAAACAAACAATTATCTTGTCCAAAATGTTAACACTGCCAAAGTTGAAAGGCATAATACATATCAACTAGTTAGGATAATACCTATCAACTTGCCAATCATCTTTAAGTGGAGATTCACTCTATCTTGTCTATTGGAAGATCATGAGAAACTAAGTCTTCTTGCAACCAGGATACAGAATAATTTCCTCCTAATGTGTTGGTCAATCTATTGAGAAAGGGAATTAGTTTAATGCCTAATGCTGTTTATTAATGATTACACCTTCTTTTAAAAATTAGCCACAAACATCTATTTTTAAAAATCGTTCCGATTTTAATTTCAAGCTCATCACTGTAGAATTTAAAACATCCTTTGAGTATTACTTTTAAAATTAGGGCAAAACTTGACTCCTCCATTCTTCTAGCGTCACTTCTTGTTTTCTAAAAATGTCAAAATAACTAGTATAATTTCTGTGATCACATTAAAGTTCTCTGGACTGTATTTGGCCTTGATGTGGACAAACTTTTGAAGGCGGGATCTATAAATCATTCACTCCACCTACCTCAGGCATCAATTCTCACTGGTACCCTATTCCTTGGACTCTGATTTTACTATACTGAAGTACATATTGTTACTCATTATTAAGTCACACACAGCTGACTTTTATCCAGTACTGGGCGAAATCACCTTTTCTTTGCGCGCCAAACGTAGAAGTTGCCTGTGTTTAAGGACCATGTTGTGATGAAAACCCATATCTTTATTTTTC